ACAGAGGAGTCAAGCGTGGTATAACAATTTGCAGGTTTCTTACAGATCTCGAAAAATTAAAAAGATCCAAAAGAGTAGAAGATGTCCTCAATTTAAAATGTTTGTAGAAGAACAACATTGACCTTAAATTCACAAAACACTCAAACGAACAACCAAGAAACTCTTTCACAGAAGGAGATATATGATCACGACGTTTGACACAAAAAACATATCACATTACCCTATGAAACAATAGTTTTAACTTACGAAAAACAAAACCGTAGCTACCCCCAAAAATCTCAATACAATATAAAAATGAGGCATTATTAATGCATGTACCAACTGAATTCTTAGGCAAAACTATGTCCAAGCAGTACAACTTCTTTAAAATAAAGTTAACTTTGGACACTAAAGAATTCACATGCACATCAAACACCAAACCAGAATCAAGAAACAAACCAAGACATTTCATCGAGCTTACAACATTTATAGGCGTCCTATAAATGGAAACTCTAATTGAATCCTCTTGCAAGTTCCCAAAAAACATAACTTTAGATTTTTGAGTATTTATTGAGAGACCGTTACAGGACAACCAAGTTACCAACATATTAATATTAAAATCAATTGACGACTGCAACACATCCATGAACACATATTCTCCTTTAAACAAAATTTGAATGTCATCAGCAAATGCAAACGACATACAATTCCTACCATTAATACAACTCAGCAAATCATTAACATACATAACGAACAATAGAGGCCCTGTGGCACACCACTACTCACTGGAAGAAGATTGGAAACAACATTTTTACCAGAGACATACTGTTTTCTCCCGAACAAGTAAGAAAACATTAACTTACAAGCCGAGGACGAAAAATTGAAGAGACGATGTAACTTACTAATTAAATTGGCATGATTAATCCTGTCAAATGCCTTCTCCAAATCAAGTGATAATAAAACACAGCAATCACCAGCGCTGACAGAATTTATTATATTGTCAGTCAATCCAACCAGAAGAGATGTTGTGCTACGATTACTTCTAAATCCATGTTGACTCTGGTGTAATAGTGAATGCTCATTTATATATTCTAACATTTGATCTTTCAATACATATTCAACCATTTTAGAAAGAATTGGCATTATTGATATGGGTCTGTACTCATCAGAATCACCACTTTTATGAATAGGCACTATTTTAGCAATTTTCCAGAGCTCAGGAAACACAGACACTGTCAAAATGGTATTCACAACATGAAGCACAAAAGGACCAACAAAGGGAAAAACAAGTTTAAGAAATTTAAGTTTAAAGCCATCGTAACCTACTGCTTTTGACTTAATTTTATTAAAGGCACTAATAACTTCATCATAACTAATGGCACGAAACGAAAAACCATCATAAGCACCTACAGGAACACAAGAAATATCACAGACATCCATAGATTGATTGGAGACAAAACAAGAATTCAACATCTCAACATCCACATTTTCAACTTCACATTCCTCATCACTCAAACCATTCTTATTTAATATTGACCACACTTCCTTTGTGGTTTTATTCATAAACAATTCCTTGTGAGCAATATACTTCAACCTCCTTATGACTTTCTTAACACGGTTCCGACAACGACAAAAATTTCTCCAATTATCTAAAGTCCTATTTTGAAAATACGCCTTATATGCAGAATCCCTAAGGGAAACATGATAACGGATGTCAGAAGATTTAAACCTATCACTATTATTATTCTTATAAAATCTTCTTCTTATCGGAACAACTGTATGCAAACATTTAGTATATTTACCTGTGAATCAACATCTGTTACTGTAAAAACTTCTTCAAAGTTGCATAAATCCAAAGCATCCGAAATCGCTACTGGGTCAACAGAACTGTAGTCCGCATATTCATAAAACAGACGACTACGACAATTAGGAACATTGAGAGACAAAAATATAAACGAATGGTCAGAAATGCCAGGACAAGAGAATTGATTTGAACATGCTAACAAACTCAAATTCGACACAAACAAATAATCCAACAAAGAAGTAGAATTGTGCGCAACATCGACATGTGTTGGCATTGAATTATGAACAACAGATAAATTCAAACGACTACAAACATCACGCACCAATACACTTCGGTTCAAATCAAACACGTTATTGTTAAAGTCCCCCATAATGATAACATTGGAATACTTTACCACAAGGTCAGAAATTTCATCTTCCAAAGCCAATATATTACCATGAGGCAAATAAACAACGCCGATTAAGAAAACAATATTATTAACAATAACCTCACAAAAAATATATTCGACATCACCATAAGAATTACCTCTACACACAAGTTTATGACTCATATCCTGTGCAACATACAAAACAACACCACCTCCTCTGCTACCAGGTCTATCACTTCTGTAAGAAATGTAATCTGGTATTTTTATGGCTTCGTTCGAAATTGTAGGTTTTAACCAAGATTCTGTCACGCCAAAAATATTAAGACCTTTCCCCTCTGACACACTGGGGAATATCAAATTCTTCCTCCCGTCCATCTGGGAGCAAAACCAGTGCCTTGAGGTTGTCCTCACTTTTTAACTTAAATCTTCGGATCTTGTTGTTTCTCCATAATTTTCGACAAAGATACATTAATTTAGAGGCTGCACGGTTATGGTGATCATTCAAGTAAACTCTACTTCTTACACCTACCCCAGTAATATCACTAAGCAACAGCGAATTACAGCGCTTTTGGTAATTAGCCATAAGTGTGTCTCTCACAAGTACAGAATTAAACTTTACAAGCACAGACTTGCCTTTCGAAATGTAACAACAGTGGTTGACATCACAAGGTTGTACATCAACACCGCACAAGGCTGCTATTCTTAGCACAGGGTCTCTTAATTGTTTAATGCCATCAGGCAAGCCACTAATAATTATATTGGATCGATTGAGACGCCTAGTAAGAACATCACTTTCTGCATCTGTTACCTGCTTAGCTTGTTCCATACGCTTAACAGCATCTTGGCACCGTCGGACTGACTTCTCAACTTTATGAATTCTATCATCAACCTCCGACCTATTGTTTTCACAACATCCTTAATTTTAAGCATAAAGCTCTCAAATTGCTTCTCAAGGCATAGCTTATATGATTCGAACTCCTTCTGCATTGTTCCAATAACATCGGCACCTATTTCCATACTGCTAGCAATCTCCATACAACCAACCGCTGAAGAAGAGGTATTTGCCTTATCATCAGAGCTCTTCTGTAACGACCCAAATTCCCTTCTTCTTGCTGAGGTATGCTCGCGGGGTCGAGGGTCTGCCACAGAAATTTATAAAGTGACCGAGAGAGTAAAAAACGCAAGTGGTTTGTTTTTTAAGCAAATACGTTTATTTTATTCAGAATTGATTGGGGTTTACTTATATTTAACAGTTCGGGTAAGAATATATATATAAAGCGGCAAGTTCAGCGGTACCTAGGACGTTCGTGCTCTCTTGGTGCTGGTGGTTAAAAGGATAAAAACCCGATGGGCTGGAAACACCTCAAGGGGTTGACATGGATGAACCCAAGGGCTCCAAAACACCTCAAGGGGATGAAAAACGAAGAAACCCAAGGGCTTTATCACATCAAGGGGTTAATAACGAAGAACCCGAGGGCTCTAACACCTCAAGGGGTTAAAATGAACGATAAAATCCGAAGGGCTGGAACACCTCAAGGGGTTGATATGGATGAGCCCAAGGGCTTCAAACACCTCAAGGGGATGAAAAACGAAGAAAACCCGAGGGCTTTATCACCTCAAGGGGTTAATAACGAAGAAACCCGAAGAACCCAAGGGCTTTAACACCTCAAGGGGTTAATACCAAAGAACCCAAGGGCTTGACGACACCTCAAGGGGCTAATACCCGAAGAACCCAAGGGCTTTACGACACCTCAAGGGGATGAAATACGAAGAACCCAAGGGCTTAAACACCTCAAGTGGTTAATAACGACGAACCCAAGGGCTTGACGACACCTCAAGGGGTTAATACCCGAAGAACCCAAGGGCTTTACGACACCTCAAGGGAATGAAATACGAAGAACCCAAGGGCTTTTACGACACCTCAAGGGTTTAGAAGCGAATAGACCCGAAGACCCAAGGGCTTTACGACACCTCAAGAGGTCAATACCCGAAGAACCCAAGGGCTTTATGACACCTCAAGGGGATGAAATACGAAGAAACCCGAAGAACCCAAGGGCTTTACGACACCTCAAGGGGTTAATACCCGAAGAACCCAAGGGCTTTATGACACCTCAAGGGGATGAAATACGAAGAAACCCGAAGAACCCAAGGGCTTTACGACACCTCAAGGGGTTAATACCCGAAGAACCCAAGGGCTTTATGACACCTCAAGGGTTAAACTCTAGCTCGAGAACGCGAGTTACCGAAGGGCTTGTGAACACCTCTTACAGTTTTCCTATCTTTTCACCACTCTGACTCACCTGTCTTCTTCGCTGTAGTTCGCTTCACAAACTGAAAGAACTTCTAATAGGATTTTTCCTTTTTATAGCCTCGCAGCATGTCACGTGATCTTAGACCTTCTATGCAAAAGCCTTTTTGTTGTCACACGAAACAGTTATAAATTTTGTCTTTGATGCCTTCGCTTTGCCATCATCGAACGATGGTTCACTGTCATGCATGGTCTTTGTTGTTATGCTATGCCTGCGTTGCCCGGTCTCCACTACCATGCATTAACATCAATGCCCAGTGTGTCTTGTTTGTTGTTGTGCGTTTATGCATTGTGCCATGCTTGCTTGTTGTTGTGTGTTTATGCATTGGCACAATGCTTTGGTTGAATCGATCGTTGTGATGCTTGCTTGTTGTTGGCTGCCTATGCATTGGTTTAATGCATTGGCATTGCAGTTGTGTGATCTAACAATATTTCTTGCTGCTACTGCGTGGCCTTGACTATGATGGTCATTGAACCTAACTGTCCAGTGTTAAAATCAATGCCAAACAAGAAGTTGATGTAAATAACTATGAGGGGGTTGGTTAAGTTTTGGAAATAAAAGGACGGTGATTTTTTTTTGGAAATTCATATTTATATAACAACTCTTTCTTTACACAAATAAATTTTAAAATTCAACAACAAAGTGGGGACGAAAACAAATGAAATGACTTTCGTCGTCACACTGCCTCCCCTCTCTAAACGAGCCGGCTGCCTTCACAACATCCGCACAAAAATTTTCCCTTGTCGATTGACGTGGACCCGGAGCTTTTTCCCGCCAATGGTAAAAACCCGCTTGTGTTGGTGGTGAAGTATCCAGCGGCGAAGAGCATCTCGTAGACACGGCTGTAATTCGCTCCTAATTTCCTCTGGTAGCATTTCCCGGCATTCAAATTGGATGTCCTCAACAGATTTTTCCGAGGTTACCGGTACGACCACCACACTGGATACTGTCGGGGGTTTCGGGCTTCTCACCTGCTCCAACCGGCGATTAATATGTGGTTGGTAGCATTCGGTCTCCGAATCCGAGTCCGGTGCATACCGAGGGGACAGATCCAAACCTACGTTGCGTACGGTCGCCGGTGGAAATTCCATGGTCATAAAAAGTGTGCGACCTGGCGTCGGTGGTAAGTCGGGTATGGTGTCTCCGGCTGCCATGGGTGACACTGTAGGAGGGGGGGTGACCGGGTAGTCGTGTACCACAGGTGGCCTTCGAGGCGGGGTAGATGGTAACTCATCGTCAGATGAGATGACGATAGTCTCGACTACTACCGGTGATGAGGATGGTACATCACGCCGCATCTTCTTTTGGCTGGGGAGCCTACTCTTTTTGGGCTTGGTGGTGTTGGCCCTTTTAGATGGCTTAGGGGTAGGACTGGACCCTGCGTTCTTGTTCCGCAGTGCATGCGTTTCCTTCTCTTCCAACCTCGTGAGCACAACGGAGCAGGGTTTAAGGGATTCCACAAGCTGGTATTGATGCTTGTAAAAAGCCTTTGTACGTAATGGTTGGGTAGGTTGGTCCATTATTAATTTTTGGGAATCTGTTGAGGTAGAAGAAACAGTATCTATGTTAGTACCTACACAATTTAGATGTTCAGACGGTAAAACGTAAGGTTTCATATCCCCGAGGTGAGCGTTCCTTTCGTGTTTCCCGTTAACTTTCCGAACCCTCGCGATCACCGGAGAAGGGAAACTAATAATTTCGAAGGGCCCATCGTATTTAGGTGCCAATTTCGCCGCGAAATTGTCTGTAGCTTTTGACAGTGGGTGCTGTTTTACCCAAACCAGGTCTCCGACAACTGGAGTCCACTTACGACGTCTGAGATTATACCGTCTTTTCTGATTTTCTCCAGCTTGAGCCAAATTCTTGTTTACTATTTGGAAAATCTCACGTAGTTCGACCGCCCTCTTCGAAGGCTCTACAACTCGAGCACCCGAACCGATGGTTATCTCATCGAATAGAGCACCTGGAAGCCTTGGTTCTCGACCCCGCATAAGAAAAGCCGGGCTGTACCCCGTTGACTCAGAAACACTTGAATTAACTGCCAATGTAATTTCCGGCAGAAAGTCGTCCCATTTGTTGTGCTGATTGCCTGCTAGCTGAGCGATTACTGTCTTTATCGTTCGGTTGGCTCGCTCCGTGGGGTTTTCCTGTGGACAATATGGAGCAGTAAATTGTCGGCGTACTCCAGTTTCTTCCAGGAAAACGTTCAGTACCTTACTGGTGAACTGGCTTCCGTTATCGGTAACGAATAACTTCGGTGCGCCAAATCGAGATAGTATCCTTTCCCTAAATGCTTTTATCACCCCCTCTGCCGTGGCTTTCCGCATCGCGACTAACTCAACCCACTTCGTGAACCGGTCCAGAAATACTAAGAGCATGCTATTTCCGTGCTTGGTGCGTGGCATTGGGCCCACGAAGTCAGCGCACACTACTGCCCAGGGTTCCTCCGGTACCGAAGTTAACATTTCTCCCGCCCACACGACTCACATTTCTTCACGAGTCATACCAGGCCAATAATAGCGTCCACACGTTCTGTTGATGGTCTTCCGGATACCTAGATGTCCGGCTGCCGGTTGGCTATGATTTTCCCGGAGAACTCGCTCACGCAGTTGGGAAGGAACGCATAACTTCCATGGCGTGTCGTCCTCGTCATCTTTGGTCCTTTGAATATGCCTGTACAAGTTTGAGCCTACTATGGCGTAATCTGGAAACTTCTCCGGGTTCTTCTCGATCGCTTGCAATTTTTCTTTAATCCAGGGACACTGAGTAACGGATTCCTCCACAGCTCTCATCAGTGGTTCCACCAGCTGTCTGGACGAGGCATCCGCTACTACGTTTAAGCTTCCCCTCCGGTATTCTATGGTAAACGTGTATTGTTGCAACTCCAACGCCCAGCGAGCTAGTCTTCCAGTGGGATTCTCAATGGAGTTGAGCCATTTTAGCGCCATGTGATCCGTTATGACCAGGAAATTGTAGCCTTCGAGGTATTGGCGCATTTTCTGAATGCCCCATACTATCGCTAGACACTCCTTTTCTGTGGCCGAGTAGTTGTTTTCTGCCCCGTTCAACGTTCTGCTGGCATATGCTATAACTCGTTCACCTTCGTCGAAAGCCTGGGTTAGAACCGCTCCAAGTCCATGATCGCTAGCGTCTGTCTGAAGGACAAATCTCCGTGAAAAGTCAGGGCAGGCGAGTACTGGGGCCTGGGTGAGTCTGGCTTTGAGCACTTCAAACACTGTCTGTTGGTTTTCCGTCCATTTCCAATGTTTGCCTTTCTTAAGAAGTGACGTTAGGGGTTGAGCAATAGTGGCAAAGTCGGGTACAAATCTCCGGTACCAAGAAACTACCCCCAAAAAACGCCGTAACTCCTTAAGTGTTTTGGGTGGCTCTATCCCCTGAATTGCTGCAACCTTGTCGGGGTCAGTGTGAATGCCTTGTCCGCTGATTACGTGGCCCAAATATTTAGTCTCCCGTTTGAAGAACTCGCATTTGTCGGGGTTGATTCGTAATCGGGCTTCACGCAACCGCTGGAACACCTTTCGCAGATTTGCTAAATGTTCGTCCAACGTTCTTCCGATGACAACAATATCGTCTAAATAGGCAAACGCATGTGGCTCCATTTCTGGTCCGATTACGCTATCCAATGCGCGTTGAAATGTTGCGGGTGCCGAGTGAAGACCAAACGGCATGACTTTCCATTGATATAGCCCTCGTCCAGCTACAGCGAATGCAGTATATTTTCTACTGTCCTCCTCCAGAGGGATTTGCCAGTAGCCGTCCTTTAAATCGAGACTGCTCACGTATCTGGCTTCTCGTAGTCGATTCAAGATGGTATCAATTCTGGGAAGTGGATAAGCGTCTGGTTCAGATCGACTGTTGAGTTGACTGAAGTCTATACATAGTCTCCACGTCCCGTTTCTTTTTTGGGCCAACGTAATTGGGGAACTGTACGGGCTATGTGAGGGCTCTATGTATCCTAATGTTAAAAGTTCGTTTATTTTTTCATCAATGATGGCCTGCATAGCCGGATTTCGGGGTGCATATCTGGCCTTAAAGGGCCGGACGTCCTTCATTTTAATTCGATGGATCGCCGCAGTAGACGGGCCTTTAATTTCGTCAAATTGTCCGAGTTCGACCTCTAAGAAGGATTGTATCCTTGCTTGGTCCTTTCTTTCAAGCTCACTTACCGTTTTATGGCCGACCGCTTTGGCTCCTTCTTCTTCCACTGCTGACGTGGTTATGATTGTTCCGAGTCGATGTGCTTCCGGCTGTACACCGAAGTCGCAGGTGAGACCAGCGCAGCTGATACGGGCCTCGCTTTTAACCAAAAAGTCGAGTCCTAGTAGTAGGTCTTCTGTGGCATCAGGCATAACTAGAAATCTGACTGACAATCGCCGGTTTCCAAATATGACCTGGGTATGAACCGCTTCTCGTATTTGCCGTTGGGAACCGTCGGCTAAGGTAACATGGGCAGTGTGTGGGGTGCTTAAAAGTACCGAGTCAATGGTTTCACGTAGTTTTTCACTGATGAAATTACTGGTTGCCCCAGTATCCACCGTTGCAGCTAGAGGCTGACTCGCCACTATTATAGTAGCCACCAGTTTAGTTGCTTCTACGCGAAGCGAAGTTCTTAGTTGAGAGGACTGGTCATTTTCCGCGGATCCGTTGCCCCTCTGTTCTTTCGGATCCGATCGCCGTTTCCCGACATAACACGGCAGCAATCAATAGTGCGAACACCTGTACGACCACAATCCCTGCAAAACAACACCTGAGAATTCCTACACCCAGATGCAAAATGTCCAGGTCGAGCACAGCGTCTACAGGCAGTAATTGGATCGACCCGGTCCTGTTTGCTCCCCCCGTCGGTCGGATCTATTTGTCGATGTTGCTCGCGTATGGGACCGGAGCCGGGAGGTAAACTCTCCAAATCGTCTGCCATTTCGAGCAGGTCGCTGAGCGTATGAAAATCCCGACGTCTTATGTACCAGAGGTATTCCGGGAGGGCATTTCGAAAAATTCTCTCAAGCTTCTGGCCTTCCGTGTATGTGCTGTGGCGCATCAAATTTGCATGCTCAATGTATATGATTTAAATGGTTCCCGTGGCCGTTGTTTTCTTTTCCGTATTTCGTCCTCCAATTGTTCGAAATACCTAGACGGCAGAAAGAAACGGAGGAAGTCTTCTCGAAGTTGCCTCCAGGTTGTCCCTTGCTGATTGTTGTTCCGATACCATACCAAGGCATTTTCCTTCAATACTTCAGGCATCATCCGGGGCAAATATTCCAGGTTAACCTCATACATGACGGCCAGTTCTTCCAATCTTTCTATAAATTCTAGGGGACCTCGGCTACCATCATAACTGATGTTCCATTTTCGGACCTGGTCTGCTAGGGCCCGGGGATCCCAAGCCGCCTTGTCTGTGTTAATATCGGTACTAGGCCGTACGGGGGGTATATTTGAAGAAGCAGCCACGGCCAGTCCCTGTTTCCTTTGCTTTTCGTCTGTGGGTTGATTGATTTCACCTGATGGAGTAGTTGACGCGGTGACCGTTATATTGGGTGTTTTCTGCGGGGTAAGAAATTTTAATTCCTGGCTGGTAGTTGGCTTCTCATATTTCTCCTGCAATTCTATGAGTCGAGAGAATCGTTCCGGGGAGTGGTCCTCAGATAATAAGAGGGCGAACCGTCTACGAAGCTCTTCGACGGTACCAGATGTTGGACAACCGAACTCCTCTAAATAGGCCAACAAGTCTTCCCTTCTCAGGGCGTAGGCCCAGGAGACACGCAAAGATGCCGGCATTCTCGTATCCTTGCAATCAATTCTTTTTTAACGTTTAAACTCTCTCAGGTCCCTGCTCGGGCGCCACTGTAACGACCCAAATTCCTTCTTCTTGCTGAGGTATGCTCGCGGGGTCGAGGGTCTGCCACAGAAATTTATAAAGTGACCGAGAGAGTAAAAAACGCAAGTGGTTTGTTTTTAAGCAAATACGTTTATTTTATTCAGAATTGATTGGGGTTTACTTATATTTAACAGTTCGGGTAAGAATATATATAAAAAGCGGCAAGTTCAGCGGTACCTAGGACGTTCGTGCTCTCTTGGTGCTGGTGGTTAAAAGGATAAAAACCCGATGGGCTGGAAACACCTCAAGGGGTTGACATGGATGAACCCAAGGGCTCCAAAACACCTCAAGGGGATGAAAAACGAAGAAACCCAAGGGCTTATTAACACCTCAAGGGGTTAATAACGAAGAACCCGAGGGCTCTAACACCTCAAGGGGTTAAAATGAACGATAAAATCCGAAGGGCTGGAACACCTCAAGGGGTTGATATGGATGAGCCCAAGGGCTTCAAACACCTCAAGGGGATGAAAAACGAAGAAAACCCGAGGGCTTTATCACCTCAAGGGGTTAATAACGAAGAAACCCGAAGAACCCAAGGGCTTTAACACCTCAAGGGGTTAATACCAAAGAACCCAAGGGCTTGACGACACCTCAAGGGGCTAATACCCGAAGAACCCAAGGGCTTTACGACACCTCAAGGGGATGAAATACGAAGAACCCAAGGGCTTAAACACCTCAAGTGGTTAATAACGACGAACCCAAGGGCTTGACGACACCTCAAGGAGTTAATACCCGAAGAACCCAAGGGCTTTACGACACCTCAAGGGAATGAAATACGAAGAACCCAAGGGCTTTTACGACACTTCAAGGGTTTAGAAGCGAATAGACCCGAAGACCCAAGGGCTTTACGACACCTCAATAGGTCAATACCCGAAGAACCCAAGGGCTTTATGACACCTCAAGGGGATGAAATACGAAGAAACCCGAAGAACCCAAGGGCTTTACGACACCTCAAGGGGTTAATACCCGAAGAACCCAAGGGCTTTATGACACCTCAAGGGTTAAACTCTAGCTCGAGAACGCGAGTTACCGAAGGGCTTATGAACACCTCTTACAGTTTTCCTATCTTTTCACCACTCTGACTCACCTGTCTTCTTCGCTGTAGTTCACTTCACAAACTGAAAGAACTTCTAATAGGATTTTTCCTTTTTATAGCCTCGCAGCATGTCACGTGATCTTAGACCTTCTATGCAAAAGCCTTTTTGTTGTCACACGAAACAGTTATAAATTTTGTCTTTGATGCCTTCGCTTTGCCATCATCGAACGATGGTTCACTGTCATGCATGGTCTTTGTTGTTATGCTATGCCTATGTTGCCCGGTCTCCACTACCATGCATTAACATCAATGCCCAGTGTGTCTTGTTTGTTGTTGTGCGTTTATGCATTGTGCCATGCTTGCTTGTTGTTGTGTGTTTATGCATTGGCGCAATGCTTTGGTTGAATCGATCGTTGTGATGCTTGCTTGTTGTTGGCTGCCTATGCATTGGTTTAATGCATTGGCATTGCAGTTGTGTGATCTAACAATATTTCTTGCTGCTACTGCGTGGCCTTGACTATGATGGTCATTGAACCTAACTGTCCAGTGTTAAAATCAATGCCAAACAAGAAGTTGATGTAAATAACTATGAGGGGGGTTGGTTAAGTTTTGGAAATAAAAGGACGGTGATTTTTTTTTGGAAATTCATATTTATATAACAACTCTTTCTTTACACAAATAAATTTTAAAATTCAACAACAAAGTGGGGACGAAAACAAATGAAATGACTTTCGTCGTCACACTTCTTAATACACGTAGGACACTTAAACAAGAACATCAGTGACTTCCTATGTTTGTACAAAAAACTATGCTGCTCTCTTGACACATCGACACATTTTATGTGGAAAAACATTCCACAAATACCACAGCCGGCATGTATACGTTCTTGTCTCAGCGGGCATGACCAAAGATACAGGTACCACAACAGTTTACAACAACAAGCACAGTAAAGACTTATTGTACAGAGATCATTAAACACAGCAAACACAGGAGCAAAGCACATACAGCAACTCCACCAGATCACTTCTATTGTTTACAAACAAAAGCACACAAACACAGGAACCAAAAACGCCAACCAATTTGTAAGTCTCAGCATAAGAACAGCCTTCGATGCAACAGCAATGCGCGGCAATTCTTTTTATTTTTTATTCTTCTTCTTCCTGCTCGCGTATTTATCTTAACAGATATGGATCCAAAATAGACTACTCCAATAACGTCCGATGGCCAAGGCACAAGCTTTATTTTCAGCAACAAAACAAGACAAATAGGACTACTTACATAAATTATTTATTTGATTTTATAATTTTCCAGGAACCAAAAAAATGTAATGACACATCGCTGTAGGGCTCTATAGATCGTTTAGAGGCCATTCGATTTGGAAGTGTCCCAGCACCCACAACTGCTACCTATGCGGTGAAAGGCATCACACACTGATACATAGGTCAATTAGAACGACTCCTACCCGTAGTGTAGTGTTCAACCCTAGCTCTTCAAACCTACAATCCAACCCCTTGTACCCAATCGGTCCCTAATTTAGGTAACGATGCTTCTACGTCCACTAGTGCAAATTCTACTGTAGTAAATCCTCAGGTTTATCAAACAACCCATAATGCTAAGGTTATTTTCAGCACCGCCATGATAAATCTCGTTCATCAATACAGTTATTATTCTATTAGAGCTCTCATAGACCCCGCTTCCGAGGCTACCATTATTACAGAAAACCTTCAGCGCAGATAACAACTACCTCCTCGATCCAACATCGAGACCATTTCTGGTGTAAATAGTTCATCCGCGTTAACGTGCAGAAAAATGTTTCGTGTTAGTATCCACTCTCGTTTCGATTCCTCCATTACATTGAACACAGAAGCTATTGTTCTGCCTACTATTTCTAGTAATCTCCCATTCTTTTCCGTCGACTCTTTTGTGTCAAATGGTTTAACTAACATATGTTTAGCAGACCCTTTGATTGCGCTCCGTAGATATATTGTTTGGTACGGATTTGTATCCTCGTATTCTCTTGCCCAGGGTACAATGAAATATCTTAGGTTCTCTTTTGGCGCAAAATACCATTTTCGGTTGGATTCTTTCAGGTCCCATCTCGTGTTCACCCGTCCAGGTCTTTACGACCACAATAAAATCTTGGGAGGAAGGCAATCTTAAAAACCCCTTTCGCAGTTTTGCGAAGGCTTCATAAACGGACACCTCTAGACTCCAAAGCTCCAGGCAAATCACCATATGTCTTGCAACTCCATCCCGGTTCTTCACCTCTGGTTTTACCATCGTCCGACGTACCACCAACTTGTCCAATTATTTATATCCACACGTCCAGTCATTCTTTCCATATCACCACGTGTTTCTCCGACTAGGCTTCACTATAATCACCGTCGTTGCTCACACTCACCCAATCGTTTTTCTCCTTCGTCTTCCGTACATAGACCAATACAATCCCAAAAAGTGCTTAGTTACCGTATTCTCCCACATCATTACCCCATTTGTTCCTTTAAGTTATTAAATATATATACTTTTTTAAATTTAAGTTCAGCCTTTTATTTAGGTTTTGGTTAGGTTCAGTGTTATATTCATATAATTTATATTTGGGTTTTAATTGACTAGCATCTAAGTTTTATTTAAGTAGATATTTAGATAAGTACTAGATTTTAAGTGGTAATTCATAAGATTTCAGTAGACGCCAACCCTAAGTTTTTCCACCCGATGATGTGCATAGTCACATCCAACCAGTTTTGGCTGATTGGAATTCAGCATTGGAATTTACCGGTAGCTGCATAAATGTATGTGTCCATGTGTTTATATTATTAAAATAAAAGTAATATGATAAAATCGTTGCAAACTTTTATAATTTATGCGATTCTTACTTAAACTTTTTTTAGTAGACCTAACCGACATGACTAGAAAGACAATTGATGGAGGTGATAGTACTGATTCTAGCACTGGATAAAACCAAAGTTTTCGATTGTTCTGATCACTCACATCAGATAGACAAATTGTGCTTTTTATATGCATTTGATTGCAACTAATGTGATTTTTTTTGGAACTTTGTGGCTCTGATTTTATCGTTTATTATACAGATGCCAATAAAAATTGTTAGCAAAAAACAACCATTGGTTAATATCTGTATGAGTAGTACTAGCACTTCGTTTAAGAGGAGAGGAGAGTTACCTGGCATTAGGATAGGTATTTGAAACCATTGGAGCGTCATTTTTATTAAACGCTTGGCACGGCATTTTAATTAAACTTTGAGAAGTATGTATGATAATTTAGAACTACTAATTAGGGATAATAAATCTGAAATCGGCGGAAGCGTATAGTTGAGAAATGTTATCATATAATAATAAGTTAGAACGCGATAAATTCTGTTGGGCCGAAAATAAAACGTATGAAAAGAAAAGGATAGGAATTGAATATTGGGTCCACTTAAATTTTTTGCTTGTGAAATAGATAGATAACGGTACAGGTTTCCTGCTTAAGTGGTTGTTAAAGTGTCAAATACTAAATAAGAAAGGTGTGCAAAAATTGTGGCTAAAATTACCTACGTACAATATATTATGAGGTACCGCTTATAAGGGCTAAAGGAAATATTGAGCTTATTCCAACAATCTTCTGTCGCAGAAGACAGAACCCATTAGAAACTCTTCATACCGAATTTTAATAACATAACCCACATGATTTGACAATTGATGGAGGTGATGGTAGTGTTACCTTAGCACTCAAATCTGATATACATTTAACTGCAATTCATGTACATTTAGTCTTCTTATTTGTCTGAACGTTCTCAGTGTTATTCATATTTACAGCGGGTAACTCAATGTTCAAGTTTAAGCCCGCGGACGACCTACATTTATTTTTAATGGACAAGCACGCTGTTAGAGAACAACATATATACCATATAATAACATAACATTTCACGTTGTTGTAATAACATGGCAGTAAATGTTTCTAATACAAATGTTAATATGTAATTCTCAAGTAGAAGTTATATTTTAATAGTATCTCTCAACACATAACATTTTCAGTCTACAACTGTTTCGGTTTTACTTATGAAAATACATAGATTTTGAAACAAATAGATAAATGTTAATATGTTATTCTCAACTACAACTTATATTTTAATATTATCTCTCAATACATAAGCTTTTCCACCCAGTTCCGGTTTTACTTACGGAAATACATAAATTTTTTTAAGTTTTAAAATGCGAAATAAATTAAAATATACATTTGTTGTGCTACTGACATTTCTGTAGTGTTAAGTCGCAAATATTTGTGTTCACGGATAAGTGAACATGTTTTTATAATAAAAGAGAATAGCGGGGCTACTTAGTGCAGATGAGAGGAAATTGTTAAACAGGGATCTTCTTAATACAGTCCACATTAAATAAGATAAGAAAATGTGGTGAGCAGACCTTCGAGTTAGAAATAAATAATACAGAATTTTTAATTGCTGCATGTGTTGTGGTGGAGTTAGATAATGGGATGTAATCTTTACTCAGACTGATAAGCAAGTGCAGCATGTTTGCTTGCCACATGTGAGATAGCTATGCATGTGTATGACCTCCCCCTAAGGTTTATGGTGGCATGGTGCATATGCATGTGTACAGTTGGTATCTATCTCTCTCTCTTTCATTTACACTTAATGATAATTTAGGTTAAGTCATATTATCATAACTAGTTCTTAAGTAATATTTTTAATAAACAAATTTAGTGTCTTACTAACGCTGAAATGGTAAAGACTTTGCGTCTTTTAATTAATCCCGGTTTACAAATTGTTTTGGTACATTGTCATGTCAAAATAAAATTAAAAATTGGTAGAAAAAACAATAATTTGTTTATACATATGGGTAGATTACTTTGTCTAAGCCGCAGATTTTAAAATTACCGAGCAAAATTATCATTGCTGTTTAATCATCTGTTCAAGTGAATTGTGTTTGAAGTAATTTTAGCTCTTGCACATATTTTTAGAAGAGAGGATCATTAGAAAAGGTATTTTTAACTAACCACGTCCTTTGGAACGTCGTTTTAATTAAACGTTTGCCATGACATGTTAACAAAACGTTGGGCACGGCATTTTAACCAAACTTTTTACGGAAAAATATTGCATTTGTATATATTGCAGTAAATATGATAATTTAGAACTACTATTAATAGGGATACTTAATGTGATACCATATACATCAGAGAACAACATAAATAATATATAATGTTCATTTCACGTTGGTCGAGTTAAAATAATCTGGTAGCAAATGTTTCTAAGACAAATGTTAATATGTTACTCTCAACTACAAGTTAAATTTTACTATTATCTCTCAACACATACTTTTTTCCACCTGCAATTTGTTCGTTTTTACAAATGGAAGTATATAAATTTTGAAACAAATAGTTAAGTTTGAAAATATGCATTAATTGTGCCACTGATAATTGTGCAGTATCCAGTCGGAAATATTTGTTTTGTACGTCGTGACACTGATTTCTACAATGGCAAAATAAAATGATTCCGTTTGTAGCACCTCTAAACATTCGTCATAAAGTATTTATAATCATCGGCAGCATATTAGTTTAAGTCGATTTAGCGATGTCCGTCTGTCTCTTGAAATCAAGATACAGTCCACAATTGACACAATATTGAGAATTGTAAATCAGGTATATCGATCTAGGTTTCACATTTGGTATTTGCGTTTTAATGGCTTTCACCTTCTGTGTCAAACATTGTCGATAACACACATGTAATGGTATCTCCATGTATTTGGTTTAAACTACTTTTATTATATTTTAATGGGGTCTACAGCCGGTGCCAGATCTTTGCCAATATTACTACAAACTTTCCACATGAGGGTACCGAATGATGTTCGGGTTTTGGATGATTCTGAGCAACTTTTTTCACGGTATTGTGCCAAATTTCATCTTTAGAATTCACTTTGATATAGGTTCCAGTGTTTGTACTGCACCCATATAGCAGTTCCACAGTGTAGAGTGAAATACGTTCGAATATTGTTTCAAGATTATTTTATATAATTATGTTTTCTTTGCCGAGTTTTGCGTTTTCTACTCATCAATGGAAAAATAGAAAAAAGGAACTTACTAAATAAACCAGCTAACTCATTTATATTCAAACCGCACTTACACCCGTCGTTTTTATGCCCACCACATTTCTATGGAGGGTATATTAACGTTGTCATTCCGTTTGTAACTCCTCGAAATACTCATGTCAGCACCAACAAATTATATATATTGTTGATCAGAGTAAAATTCTGAGTCGATTTAGCGATGTCCGTCTGCCCGTCTGTCTGTCTGTTGTAATCACACTATCTTTCGAACGAATTGAGATAGAAGGCTAAAATTTTGCAAATATATTTACTTTTCCAGTAGGCAGGTTAAGCTCGTCAATGGGCCACGTTTTCATACAGCCCCCATATAACGGTACTTCCCGATATTCGTTATTTTGATGATTTTAGCGACATTATTAACCGCCAATGTTTCAAATTTGGTATTTGAAGTTCGTAATTGCTACTACAGTCTGTGACAGAAAATTGTCTGTGCAGGTTCACGTCTTCGTATAGCCCCAATATAACGGTACCTCCCAATATTTGGTATTTTGATGATTTTAGCGTCATTATTCACCGGAATTGTTTCAAATTTCATATTTAGAGTTGGTCATGAAAACTGAAGTCTTTGACAGAAAATTGTCTATGCAGGTCAAGATCTTCGTATAGGCCCCATATATCAGTGAAGATTTTATGTACAATACCCACCGAAATTGTTTTAGATGTCGTATTTAAAGTTCGTGTAGGATGCTACAGCCTGTGACAGAAAATTGTCTACACTGGTCCAGGTCTTCGCACATCTGCGATATAACGGTACCACCCTATATGCGATATTTTGATGATTTTAGCTACATTACTCACCGTTTATTTCAAGTTTCGAATTTGAGGATGGTAATGGCTTATGACAAACAATTAGGTCCACGTCGTATAGACCCCAATATAACGACTATATTCGGTATTTTTAAAATTTTAACAGAATTTTCATTCGTTTCAAATGGTAACTTGTAATGTATTCTCTTAACCCCCACAACGCCTGATCTACACAATTTGGTCGAATCAAGCCAGATTTGAGCAAAAGCGAAGTTTGCCTGGTTACCAATCATGCCTTTTTTCCTCGCACCAACACATCGTCTCACATCACCTATTTTCTCACATCCAATAAAAAAGGTACGTAAGTTCAGTGCTTTTTGTTTGTGTGAGATTTCAGCATTTTGTGAACAGAGAAAGATACAATTTTTTTTATTTTTCGATACGTGATAGCTCTAAAATCGCCCTACTTCTAAATTTATTAGTAATAGTTAATATTATTTTTATATGACGTCGTTTCATCGCATTAGTTGGCAATTCGTAATGAAAATAATTGCCTATTTCTTATAATTCACTACATCATAACATCCCCACGAGTGCATACAATTTATTTATGTTTTCAATTAATTTGCCATAATAGCGTGCATTTCTTGTGACTTTTCAAAGTGTAATAATCCACCACACATTTGCTGCTTTGTTGAGAGATCATTCGTACTTCTCGGTTGTGCGGTGATTTCAACTATAACAACCATCATTATTCCAAGCTCATTTTTCCCAGCGCAGCTCTAACTGCCTTCACCACAAATCAACAATTTATTTAATTCTCCCACCACTCACTGTTGATTCGATGTCGTTGGTCTGTTGGTAGCGTAGTAGTTACCCTCTCCCCTCCATCACCTGTTCACAAATACTGCTTGTGTTTTATTCCCTTTTGTGCGGTACTCGTAATTCACCACTGCACAGTGGGATCGAGAAAAAGTCAGAATTTAAGGAATAATTTTTTAAAGTATTCTTTTTATTTCTTTGTGAGTCTAATTAAATTATCTTTTAGTTGAAGTTTATATTTAAATTATCTTTTAGTTTAGTAGTCAAGGACACTTACGTCAAGTCTATTGACTATTTAGTTACATCGGAAGGTACGACGAGCGATAACATTTGTTCTGCCGATAAAAAATATCAAAGCAGTTGTCAGGCATTTATTGACTGCTTATCTGAAATTAATGAAAAAGTCGGTTACATCTCCTCCTGCTACCCCCACTTGTCCACCTGTAACTGAAAACACCACATCTCACCATTCGTCCACTCTGATACCCTGGGAACAGAGTCTCAAAGATAAGTCGTCCTTACTGTCATGGAACGAGCTCGATTCCTTCCTTACTGAGAGAATACAAATGCTTGCTTGCTTGCACGACATCAAAGGTATAGATTCTTCAAAGTCATCTAATTCGCGTAACGATAAGGCACATTCGGTAAAATTGCCTGAAGCAGTGATATCATATACCAAGCATCGTTGTCATATTTGCCTTAATGAACCTCATTCTATTTACTCTTGTTCTCCTTTTTAAACGGTTTGCCTACGTTCAAAAAGTGGATATAGTAAATAGGTTAGACTTGTATTTCAATTGTTTATTTAGAGGCCATTCGATTTGGAAGTGTCCCAGCACCAAACAACTGCTACCTATGATACCTAGTGTTCAACCCTAGCTCTCCAAACCTACAATCCAACCCCTAGTACCCAATCGGTCTCTAATTTAGGTAATGTTGCTTCTACGTCCACTAGTGCAAATTCTACTGTAGTAAATCCTCAGGTTTATCACACAACCCATAATACTAAGGGTATTCTCAGCACCGCCATGACAAATCTCGTTCATCAATGCAGTTATTATCCTATTCGAGCTCTCATAGACCCCGCTTCCGAGGCTATCATTATTACAGAAAACCTTCAGCGCAGATAACAACTACCTCCTCGATCCAACATTTTACGCCATTTCTGGTGTAAATAGTTCATCCGCGTTAACGTTCAGAAAAATGTTTCGTGTTAGTATCCACTCTCGTTTCGATTCCTCCATTATATTGAACACAGAAGCTATTGTTCTGTCTACTATTTCTAGTAATCTCCCATTCTTTTCCGTCGACTCTTTTGTGTCAAATGGTTTAGCTAACATATGTTTAGCAGACCCTTTGATTGCCACTCCGTATTCTTTTGCCCAGGGTACAATGAAATATCTTAGGTTCTCTTTTGGCGCAAAATACCATTTTCGGTTGGATTCCTTCAGGTCCCATCTCGTGTTCACCCGTCCAGGTCTTTACAACCACAATAAAATCTTGGGAGGAAGGCAATCTTAAAAACCCCTTTCGCAGTTTTGCCAATTAAGGCTTCATAAAAGGACACCTCTTGACTCCAAAGCTCCAGGCAAATCACCATATGTCTTGCAACTCCATCCCGGATCTTCACCTCTGGTTTCACCATCGCCCGACGTACCACCAACTTGTCCAATTATTTATATCCCCACGTCCAGTTATTCTTTCCATATCACCACGTGTTTCTCCGACTAGGCTTCACTATAA